CTTTACATGATTCGTTTTCCGCACGTCAACTGCAACTATGCAAAATTCAAATGACGCCAATGCTCATAAATTTTGTGCCACAAACTCATTTTTTGTGTATCCGATGTCAAGTTGAGCCTTTCCCAAACCACTAATCAATTTAATCTTCCATCTCCATAATTCTATTACCAAATACATGCTGCATGAAAAGTTACGTAAAGCCACATACACTCTCATACACTCTCTCGAAGATAATAGCTTCTTCGCAATTAGTGGCGCTAGTCTAGTCAGTGTTTGCTTAAATCAAGTCAATTCCTCATGATCTCTAAGCCTTCATAGTGACGTATTTACGTAAATAGAGCGTGGGTGTTGAACAACAGTGGATGGAAAAGCATTTGCACGGACTTCATTACTGTGTAAACACTAGAAGTTGTACGTGGGATGCGGTCACAATGTTCGAATCGTAGGAAAAAATTTTAGCCACTTGTACATGCTCAAAGTTCAGTTGAACAGCGATGACGAATAAATGAGCGAATGCTCGAATGAGTGAATGAATGTATGGAACAAGGAATGAATGAATCAGTAATTGATGAATAAATAATTGATGAGCGTACGATTGAATGAATGCATATGAATGTGAATGCACTAAAAGGATATGATCGAGTGAATGAATGAGTAAGTGAATGAGTGAGTGGATGAGTAATGAATGAATGAACAGGGTGATGGGGAATGAATGAATGAACAAGGCAAGCCAACTGAGCGGAGAAATCAAATTAGTCGAATGGATGAATGATTCATAGGAATTTATTGGGATTTATTCGCCGCAAATATCCATTTATGGAAATGTATGACTTAGAATCTGTAACTTGCCGAAAACATTCTTGTGAACCAACAAAGCGTTTCTACGAATTAATATCTTTTTCAGCTTGCATAGCAAGGAACTCATTTGATGTTCCAATGGATCATCCCTATTATCCCCTGTTACGTACATATTAGCGAACCCTAATTGCTAAGAGAACATTTGCTTGAAAATGTAGATTCTAGCCAATTTCACTAAAACTTCTATTAAATGAACTTTGCAACACATTTCTTAGCGCAGACGTTTTGCTAAAAAACCGCACATAGCATTGAATACATTTTTGCTTAAAATGAACATTATAATAACCTGAGACTCACCATTCCGCGAACTTTTAATACAACGAATATGACGAGAATATTTCCGACGATTCCAATCACTGATAGAGTGGCAAACAGAAATGCCATACAATATTTGACCCACTCAGCTTGATCGGTCGGCATTTGGCAGTCTGGTGGGAGCTCTGAAATCGTCCGTAGTGAAATTAGGCTAATTTTGAAGAAGGCGGGACAAAATGGAGGGGTACCTGGTAGTAGCACCCATTCGGATGTAGTATCGAATTGTAGATTTGGACACATTGTTCTCAGCTGATCAGATAGAAACGTTGGCATCGCTAAAGAAAAAACGGAAATTAATCCGGTTTTAAAAAGGTGATACAGTGAAAAGCGAGTAA